TTTGCTATCCTCCTCCATCTCCTCCTCTTTTTTTTTTTCTTCCATCATCATTAATCATGTCCATACTACTTTATTATTATTAATAACGCGAAAACACAAACATGGAAAAAAAATAATGAGCTGAACTAGCCGATAAGAAAACTTTATTTTTTTTGTGACAGGTTAGCCATATACCAATTAGCTTTATGGTTGTGAAACATATAAATATCTGGCATTCATGTGTATGTTTCCTCTTTGTCTATTCATAATAAAGGAGAAGAGATAATTCTTGGGTTTCATTAAGTCAGATTATGAGCGAACTTAGTACTACTATCCTGAAAAAAGAAGATTGCATCACATACTCCTTTCAGCGAACATCGAAACCTTATGAAGTAGATAGAACCAATGAGATGAGTGAACACGCAAACTTAACTGTACTGTACATAAATGTGTTATTTGTGCTTCATTATGGTTTTGTACTATTGCCTTGGTATTTCTTCTGTCACTGTTGATGGAGTTTTATCTCTGACTTTAATTGGTATGTAATTTAATAGGATATGGAACTGGATACGTAAAGGTTAGCCGATTTCGAGTTATTTTATTTATTTCATAAAAACAAACAGTCGTGTAAATCATAGAGTTTTAACTTAACACAATTTTGCCACATTTGCCACATTCTGTAATTCTTGCAATATTTCTTATGGCTATTCTATACATAGAAACTATAGCATAAAATAATGCCATTTGGTGTGGAATTTTCAGCATTTTTGAAGTCTGTATCAAGTTCTCTTACACACTATTTATCTTCACGTTATTTTACCATGACAAACGTACTTCCCTAATAAGCAAACTACCAACGTGTAGTACAATTCAATTTAAAAAAATCTTATTTGCCCATGTATCTACTTCAGATACGTATACTCCAGTGCATAATCACTAAATAAACCTTTCACTTAATCAATTTAAAATTTGTATTTCTGTTATTTTTCCACCAAAGATTTTTCTTTTTCTTTTTTACAAAGATGTACAGTGAACCCTCGTTTTTCGCGCGGGGTTACGTTCCAAAAAGAACCCGTGATAGACGAAATCTGTGTAGTAACCTTTATTTTTTTTACAATTATTGTACAATGAAATACTCTACAATACATTGAAACCAAAGAACAAAACCTTTTACAGGCCCAAGCATTTGTTTTAACAAATAAAAGTACTGTATAACGTTTTTTTTACAAATAACTACTGTACTGTAAAATAATAATTTTAATCATCAATACGAACTGAAGGCTTCATGGGTTTTAGAGAAAATTTGCAAACTTAAATTTGGCAAGCTGTTTTACGTGCATGTACATATTAAACCGTAACGTTATTGAAACACAGGTATAAAAGAAGCGGAGAGACTGTTTAGTCAATCAGAATGCAGAACACAAGCAAATCCGTGAAGCAGCGAGGACGCGAAAGTGAACCGATTATAGCGAGGGTTCACTGTATTCTAAAATTCTAGTTATCTGATGCAACACTGCTAAAAGCAATCCAGATTTGACCGTCTTTCCTTTATGAAATCTGCAATCATAGATTTTCCTCGTAATCTGTAATCTTCAGACCGACTCGCTGGGAAAATTGTCTGCCTTCTAGGAGTCTTCATATTCAACGTGGTGTGTATCGATGTTCAGAGTATTGCCTCCAAATAGATATTTCTCACATCATGTGCTCATGACATAGAATCATTCGTAAACAGGGTGAATAAAATGTCCCTCTATCATTTCATTTTATTGTCTAACATGTTATTTCTTTTGTCTGCATATGTATCCTTGAAATGAACTACAAATTTCAAAGGGTTAAACCTGTGGTGTTCTCGAGTGGCAGTGACATCATAAGTTTTCTTTGCAGTGACAAGGTGCCTATCCGGCTCAAAGTGTAATCAAGACCTCGCAAATTTTCATTCAAATATCATTCTCACACGGGCCTGGGAATCCTTATTAGTCGGGGGGTGGGGGGGGTGGTGAAAATAGTATGATCTGAGCCACGGTTGAGATCACTTCTATTTCTGGATGTCCACCAAGCCTTTCCTCGTCGAAGTCCATATTGGTAGAAGGGTGATCATACAGATTGCAAATTTGTATGGAGCCTACATCATACAGATTGCATTTTTTTTATTTTTATGAGGCCTACATCAAGCAACAACAGAAATGGGATTCGTGTTCGATCGGTTCCTCTGGCAGCATAACTACATGATGACTATAAAATTCAAATCCACTAGAAGGCGGGGTCTGTAGAAAGCAAATTGATATGGCCTTGGTTATCCTAAACCTTGAACCGGCTTATCCTTGCTGAATATATATATGCACCTACGTGATACAGTGCGAAAACATATGCCAAGGCTATGTAAATTGGGTAATTGCCTCTCACTATAATTACTGAGAACCTCGGCTGTTACCCCGGCAAAAATATCAATAACTCACTATCACTATCGCCTTATCTTTCTCTCTCCCTTCATCCTTCTTCCTCTGTCCCCCTCTCACCCTCTCTACCCGCACTTCACTTTTCATTCCTCATCGCCTTATAAGGACGAAAGTGAACCTCAATGGCCAATATTCCAGCCGACACCAAGATAGTGACACCCAGGAGGAGAAAGGGGGTAAGGACAGTCTTTAACTCTATGGCTGACGTTTCTCGGTTCCCGCAGTCGTTGTCAGCTTTCAACTCCTGCCACCACTTCCTTATGAGGCCAACTGACAGCATGTCCATGACGCTTTTGGGGAGAGAAAGATAAGGAAAAAGGATTAGTTAACACTGACTTATGTCTGGTGCGTTAAAATTATGCCAAGCACGAACCCATAAATATCCATATACACGGACATACATATACACTGAAATAAATACCTATCTATCAATCTGATATACATTCATCTATCTATATATCCGGTAGATATGCCTATCTAAACAGATGTATATGCATTTATTTCTGTATATATGCATGTCTGTATAATGAATATTCATTGGGTCGGGCCTGGCACAATTCTAACAAACCGGCCGTTAAAAGAACTTAGGATTTTGAGGTTACGGAAGGATATACGAGAAAGAATGAGAATAATAATCTTATCCATGGATGGAAGAGCGAAGCAAGGGAACAAGGAAACAAAAATCAACATAATAAAAGCGTAAACAAAAGAACGAAGTATAAAACAAACGAGAAACATTTATACACAAAAAATAATTCAAAGCTAAGCTAATACGTAAATAGGTGACTAAACCTAAAATTATTGTCACCGGATTGGACTTTTCCATCATCACGAAAGAAGGAAAAACAACAAATAATACACTCTAACAACAATAAATAGATAAATAAATAGATTGAATTAAAAATAAATAAAATGAAGAATAGATAAAACTAAAAATAGATAAATAAACAAATAAATAGAATGAAAAATAGATAATAAATTGCATAGATAAAATTAAAAATGGAATAAAAACAACAAACAAAAAATAATGAATAGATAAAATCAGAAATTGATAACAAAAAAATAAATGGAATCAAAAATAGATAATAATTGATAGATAATTAAAAATAGATAATTAATTGGATAGATAAAAATAGATAATTAATTGGATAGATATTAAAATAGATAATTAATTGGATAGATATTAAAAATAGATAATTAATTGGATAGATATTAAAAATAGATAATTAATTGGATAGATATTAAAAAGATAATTAATTGGATAGATATTAAAAATAGATAATTAATTGGATAGATATTAAAAATAGATAATTAATTGGATAGATATTAAAAATAGATAATTAATTGGATAGATATTAAAAATAGATAATTAATAGGATTGATATCAAAAATAAACAAATTAAATTAACATGTCCCAAATAAAACTTACAGGGCATTCATCACCGGAACCAAAGGAGATCCTTTTCTCAAAGCGAAGGACGTGTAATCCGGGAAGTAGGACGCGGGCAGCAAGAACGCGCCACACTCGTCTCCAAAGTTCAAATTGTAGTAGAATTCCCACTCCATGAAGGCGTAGTCGCCCTTCAGCACCCGCTCCATGCCTTCTTCGGGAGATAAAACGAGGTCTTCGTCCTTCATTCGCTTCAATATGGCTTGGAATAAAGGGTTGGGCGAGTTCTGTTGTGTAGGGGAGAGTTCGTTCAAATTTTGGCGGGAAAGTTCGGCGTATGGGTATCATTTTTTTGTTTATTTTAGTTATTTAGTTTATGTATTTAGTTTTGTTTGTTTTGGTTTGTTTGGTGTTTGTTTTCTCTAGCGGTCTGAATAGATGGTGCGTAAGAGGCTTTGAAAAATTACCCATCACGCCTCTTTTGGTAGTTACAGGGGGCAAGTAATGGAAGATGGCTGACTGAACAGTAGACTAAGGTAACATAAAAACCAATGAAACATGTGTATCAGAGAAGGTCCTTTTTTCAGTGAAGGAAACCTACACAAAATGCATCAAANCTCCTCCTCCTCCTATTCCTTCTTCTCCTCCTCCTATTCCTCCTCTTACTTTACTTTTTATTTTTTTCTATCCAACTGTTTTAAAAAAATATTTAAGTTTCATCCTGTAACAAGATAAAATAAAAATGAAAAGCAGATGTTATGCTATGTAATTTTGTAGATTATTGTTTTTCCTAAACTTTTATCTATTTTATTTATTTATTTATATTTAGAATGTGATGCTTATTTTGTTATTCCAAAGAATGATCATATACCTACAGATTTAGATAGATAGTCTTCAGGCTCATATGCTCACAAGTTTGTTGTAAGGTATTTAAGTATTTAAAGTATCTCTTCATCCCCTCTTAGAAAAAAGAGAAGGATGACAAGAAGGAAAAGGAGAAGGAGAAAGACAAGAGAGAAAGGGAGAAGAAGGAAGACAAAGATGAGAAAGAAAAGAGGGAAGACAGGGACCGGAAGGAAGAAGAAGAAGACAAGGATGAGAAGATGGAAGAGGACAAGCAGGGGGAGAAGAAGGACAAGCGTTCATGTGAGAAAGAAGATGGGAAGGACGACAAGAAGGAAGAGGAAGAGGAAGAAGAAGAAATGGAAGAAGACGAGGAAGAAGAGGCTGTAAGTCTGCCTATAAGGAATTTTTTTATCTCCTTTGGGTTCACGTTATTCACACGTTAATACTTGCTTAAATGTCTTTTCACCTATGCAGATGTTGATTTTGTTGTGTTTCTAGTTGATAAGATGTCATTATTATTTCCTCTTATGTTATTGTTTGATTTATCATTGATATTATATCATCATTGTTTCTTTTCAAGTTACTTAACGCTGTTAAATTTACCAGGACGATGAGGACTCCAAGGATGAGACGCCGGGCATGAAGGTCGGGGAAACCAAGGAGAAGGATGAGAGGAGGGACAGCAAAGATGGCAAGAAGAAGGACGACAAGAAAGACCGGGAGAGAAGGGAAAAGAAGGAGAAGAAAAAGATGGTGACCGTGGACCCTTTTCTACTGCTCTCCTTCGTCTACTTCGATCAGACTCACACGGGCTACATCATTGACAGGGACCTGGAGGACATCATCAACATGCTGGGGCTCAACCTCTCAAGAGCACAGGTGTGTGTTGGGAAAAGATCTGGCCGGGTGTGTGGAAATAACACCCGCATTCACCTCTTGTCCTGCCTTTACCTGTATTGATGCTTTCATCGCCTGGTCTTGCCAATGAAGATATTTGGTCACTGAGTATAAATGGAATCTTGTAACTAAATCAACTTCAGAATATTAGTTGATCAAAGTGAACTTACTCTCCTCTCCTCCTTTTTCCTCTCTTCCTCCTCTTTCTTTTTTCTTCCTCCTCTGTCCTTTTTCCCAGTCCTCTTTCCTCTCTTCTACTTCCTCCTTCTCTATCCTCTTTTCCTCCCTTTTCCTCTCCTTCTCTTCTTCTTCCTCCTTCTCTATCCTCTCCTCTTTCTTCCTGCTGCTCCTCCTCCTCTTCCTCCTCCACCTCTTTCCTTTTCTACTCCTCCTCCTCCATCTCCTTCTCCTCTTCCTCCTCTTCTATCTCCTCTTTTCCTCCTTGCTTCCTTGACCACCTCTTTCCTCACCCCTGCTCCTCTTCCTCGCATTCCTACTCTTTTTTCATTCTGCCTTTTTTCTCTCATCATATACCAACTTTTCTACTTCCATTTCACGCTTCTTGTGCTCCTCTGCTTGTATTGTCATTCAATTGTCATTCCCTAATTATCCACTTCCTTCTTACTCCCCCTCTTTGATTATTCTCTTCCTCATGATCACATTCACTTCACTTCGTTATCTAATCCTCATGGGAATGTTTTGATCAATGACAATGTCCCTACATCGCAGCAAAAGAAGCTCATGTCGAAGGTGATGTCACGAGATGTCCTGCACTACCGCAAAATGACAGACGTTTCCTTGGACGAGAAGGATAAGCCAAGAGATCCTCCTCCCAACATAGACTTAGAGTTTCTGGCTAAAGGTTAGCATTAATTAGTGACTAGTTATGGCTGGGTAGAAATCTGTTTCATTCAAAGACCTCCATTTATTTTTTGTCGTCAGCATTACCTTTTTCTGTTGGATTTCATTTGATAAAGTTCTGTTAGTTAGTTAGCCTTATCAAAAAATGGTTCCTTTCAGTTGTAGTAGAAAAACTTTTCACAATATTATCTTTAACCATAATTATGTTTGTTGTGGTTAGATATTTTCATAATTTGCATCTATAGTTAAGGTGTATATGTAGTAACTATTTGAGACATATTAGCTAGTGTGAATACATGTGAAGCAGCTGATAAGTTTATATATTCTACAGGTAACAACACCATGATGCCAGTGTTCGTAGATGCCTTAAGTACCCCAATGGTTGGGGATAAGGCCCTTAGAAAGGGCTGCAAGAATAAGGAGGATTCCTTTGTCTCAACGACATGTAAGTGGAAGAAGTTAGGGCTGTGCTCAAGAATATTTTTCTCAGAATCCCATGTGTAATGCCAATGTTTTGTCCTTATGATTGTTATTTGCCTGAGAGGAGTTGCAGATAATGTCAGTTGGTGACTCTCAATTGTTTGATGATTCTTCTGGAGTATGTCGATTAATATTAGTCGTAGTGCAACCAATAATTGGCAGGTTTTTGTTGGATCCAAATGCTGGGTAATAAGCAAAGTTCCTTGAGTGTGGCCCATAGGTTGAAGAATAAACAAGAGATTATCTTAATTACCACCATTAACACAGACTGTGGGAATGCGATGATGGAGTCTAAACTTTGGATTAAGATATTTGTAACTTATTTATATATTTATTTTATTTTATTTTTCTTTCTTAAAGTTTGAAGTGTAATCAGTGTTTGTAATACCTTATACTGAATCAGTGTACTTATATAAAAAATATTCTTTACTTAGAGTAGAACCATATACCCCATGCATTATATGATAGTAACTGTAAGTCATATTTTACAATGTATACTTTGCAAAGTTCAGTTTAAGCTTGAAATCTGCAAGGAGCTTCAGAGCTGAGAAGAGTTGTACATAAGTATAAAATGATGATTCATTGTGAATCACAAGGACCATAAGATTGAATGTAATTTGAGTAAATAAAAAAATGACATCTTTTCTTTTTTCAGTAAATGACAGTGAGATGAAGGATCCATCTGCTGTAGGTTGCACAGTCCCTGTCACCCAAGGTAAATGCAAATGCTGCTGTAGTTCAATTGCTGCAGCATTTTATTCTGTCTGTCATATTCCTGTTTTTCAGGCTCTTTGCCCTTGAATATTGTACTCTTCTGATGTATATAGAGAGATGGGTATTGATATTGATACATGCTGAAATAAGAGTTAAATTTTTAAAAAATAATCTTATTTGAGAAAACTGAATAGATTTTTGCTCTTTCCTGCACCAGAATAATATTGATACTGAAAGTTAATATCTCTCTCAGGGGTTGTCAAGTATGGAGGCTCGTTAGTTGACATCGGCAAGCTGATTCAGCAGCTGGAGAAGTCGGAGAATGCGCGTAGCAGTACGGAAGAGAAGTTGAAGGAGTTGCAGAAGGAACTGAGTATGTCTTTGCATCAGTCTTTTGTCTCATTGTAATAGGAATATAACTTTTTTACTCTGTAGATTCAGGTACCATTGCCTTATATCAGCTTAGTACCTTGTATTATTTGTATATACTTATATTATTTGTATTATTATATATACCTTTAATTCTTTTTTAATGGCAGTGGTGATGATGGATATATCATTTTGGGATTCTATAACAGATTATGTTTTTCCTTCATACGCATATGTTGATCTTTCAGTGTTCAGCAAAGAGGAGTCTAAGAAGGCTTATGATAAGTGTAGTAAGCTTAACAAGGAAATCAAGAGTGCCAATTCTAGTCTGAAAACAATGGAGGAAGAACTTCAGAAAGCTATCGTAAGTATTTTGTATGTTGTTGTTTTGTGTGTATGATTTATATGTTGGGGGAAACAGGAAATATTTGATACATTACCTTCAGATTAGCATATGCTTTGGATAGAATTGAAGCCTAGGTTATTAATTTTCACAGAGTACCCCCTTAGCCTGCTAAGGTTTCTTTTCTGTTTGATTTTGATTCCCTTTGAATATATTGTTTTTTTGTACTTCAGAGTTTACACAAATTGAAGAGCCTTGTTAACAGTATGCCAAACTAGCTTTATTTTGATAATGTGTCCCATTTTAGTTGACCCTCTCCACCTCATTTGGCTCACTCTTCTTGGATATGTGTATATAGCAATGGTTTCCTTCCATTGTTTGATCATCCTGACTCATGGCAAAAGTTCATGGACAACAGGGTGGGGATTAATATCACTTATAACATTATCATGAAACTTGTGGTTTGGACATCAGTGGGAGCATGAGTGGGCACATAGGTCAGTTACATGCCAGTCAACCATGCCTATTAAGACAATACCCTAATTGTTAGTCTTGTGTTGGTGCAGGGGAGATGGGTGAAACTGCCAAGTAGTCACTTTCACATGTTTGATTCTTTCATATCAGATGCAGAGTGGGTCGTCATTTCACACCACATGAGTGTACCGAGACACTTTATATGAACTTTCAAAGCTTCTTCTCAAATTTCCATGGATTAGCTAGCATTACCTCTTGGCTACTTTGCTTTTTAGCAAACCAGTTGAAATAGCAATATAGGCACAAACTTGGCTCAGATGTTTACTTCATATTCAACATTTTTTTTTTCTTTTCTTTTCTTTTTTTCTTTTTATACTGTATATAATGGGATTATTGTCTTTGATTCTTGGTTCTTTTAATCCACTTATAGTCTGGTTGGATTCTTTGTTTTTATTTGAGTTTTTAGTTAATTATCAGTGCGCTCACTTCCCATGCCTTATTGAAATTATACGTAAGAAGTTATGTGTAAGGATGACATAGTGTCAGATTTTGAAAGGAAGAAATTTGGCATAAGAATAGTACATGTAATTTTTTTTTTTTTGGTTGTGAGAGTATTATACAGAAATGTTTATGGACATGCCTCCTACTCTCACTACAGTTCTGATTAAGTGCCTGATAAGGTTTTCCATTATATTTTCTCTACCCCTTCCCACCTGTACACAATAGGAGGACAACAATGTCTACCAAAAGGCTCTCAATCAAATCAAGTGTGTCATCAAGCCCCTGGTAGCTGGTGTCGACCTGGACGAGGAGGATGTCACCATGAAAGACATCACGAGAGATGAACTCAAGCTGAAGCAAGAACCTATAGAGAATGGGACGGTGGACTGATTTTACGGGATTGTTCACGCTTGGAGCTCTCAAGGATGTTCACAGGACCAGCTCGGAACTCAGCGTGGAATTTCCAGGCCTTGAGAAACATGCGGGATGGAAGTCTCATGTTGTTTTTAGGGAGAGCACATTTAGCCTCAAAGGTGTTTTTTCTAGCCAAAACTATGGTCCAAGTGAGTTAATAATTGTATAAAGATACATCAACCATTACCTCACCCAAAGATTATGAAGAAGTTACTTAGTCTCTTGGCACATTAGCACTTAGAACTGCATGCAGCATATGTCATTTGGTTATGTAAGCACCAATGAATGTATAGTGGATTTGTGTGCAAGTTCTGGATATTCTCAGGTTATGATAATTAATTTGTTTGTTGAAGTATTTATGACAGTGATGGCACTGATTTCAAAAGGGCAGGTGACATTAAGTTGCCATAAAGCCATTTATTTTGATCATGTGTATATATATGTTTGAATTATTGTGTATGCATAAAGGCATACATACATCAAACATCGATATACATATATATATATATATATATATATATATATATATATATATATATATATATATATATATATATATATATATATATATATATTTTCACACATACATGAATACATACATACATACATACATGTAAACATTCATAGAAATATGCCTGTAGTCATATATATACACATACATAGATACACATGTACTTACCTACATGCATTTGCATGTGCATGCAGACATATGTGCATATAATCATACATGTGCAAAAACAAACAAAAAACACATCCGCATATATGTATGTGTGTATTAGTGTATATTATATATATCAGTTGTACAAAAAGGTAAAGCATCTGTGAAAGTTCCATGACAAAACATGATTTCCTTGACAAAATATACTTCCCTTGGTACACCAGTGTTGATATCAGGTTCCACTGAAATGAGAATGAAAGTGCTAATTTGGTAAGAGTGTTTGTATGTTTAGTCGACTGAAGTGCAACTTTTGCTGTTGATGCAATTAGGGTCTTGCATTCAAATCTTTACAGAGTTGATTTTTATGTATTAATAGTACTTATATTGTTTACTTAAAAGTGAGATCATCTTTACATGTTCATAAATCATAAATTATTATACTTATAAAGTACCTTCATAAATCCATTTGCATCGCATCATTATTTGCTGTTGGAAAATTCGCAAATTCTGTCATGTTCCCGTCATTCTTGGGATAAGATATTCCCATCATCTCATCCACGCTTTATGTTCATTGCAGTCTCACTACATAGAGCGTATGTACAATGGCACGGCAGCTGGACGTGTCTCACAAAGAAAAACAAGTGCCCACACTGTCAAAAAACAATGGATTGCATTTGCAGTTGAAATGTTCAAAACGACTTGTTTATAAAGAGGTTCGTTTAAGTTCAGGAAGAGAGAGTTGCTTTAGGAGAATGCAAGGTCAATGGAACAAGCAAAAAGTTGTGTATTTTCCCTCACTTGCATTTGTTGAAATGCTGTTTGGAAAAGGTTTTTACAGGTTTTCTTGGCTTGAGACTTTGTTTCCATGTCACATGTGTATATATATATATATATATATATATATA